AGCTTCAAACTTCAGCGTTGTCTGCGATTTTGAAGCTGAAATCGCGTTCGGTGTGAACGCACCATAACGTTTCTTTTGTTTGTTATTGCTACCATTGCTATGAGCTCTCATGCTAAAGTGAGAGTTCACTCCTCCCGACACTAAAAACAGGAGGGGAGGAGTCAGCTGAGCTCCTGTGTAGCGGAGCACAGAGAGGGAGAGAGACGAAGTAAACAGACAAGCAGGAAAATGAAACTTATTGTCCTCTTTTTTTTTTTTACCGACCTCAAAATAATTTATCGTGCAATTAATTGATTTATTGACTATCGCGACAGGCCTAGATAAACGTAGTAAACAGTGTGCAAATAAAAGCATTGGTCAAAGTAAACAAACAAAAAAAAAACATCTGACCTTGTAAATACTGGCACAATAGTCGAAAGAATGAGGGTCACTGGCGTCATACATGAGACAGGCGACATCACAGGAGGCATCTGACGCCTTCAGGAACTCCGTCTCCACATCCACCTCATTGAGCTGCAGGGACGAGGAGAACGGTAACGCTCAGGCTTTGCTCAGGTCACAAGTTCAGAGTCAGCATGAAAGCTACTTACGATGAGGAATTTCTCCTGGTTTCCCACTAGAACAGTATTTATGACATATGGTGAGAAGGCACTGCTGGGATTTTCTTTATTCTGCAGAGTTTAAAAAAAGGCCACACATCAGTATTTTCAGGCTGGAGAAGAGGGAGTGGGACAAACTCACAGGTTTAATGAAACTTTCATATGGAAAGTGTAGGCCCCATACCAGAATACTGCGGTCCACAAAGGACTGGAGAAAGGCCGTCTTTCCTGTCCCTCGTGGTCCAATCACCTTGCAGAGAAACACGGTCCGCTGAGTCTGACGCTTTTCCAAATCTACTTCTTTCTCCCGCGTTACTGTACGTAGGAAGGAAAAAATACAATCAAATAACAAATAAAACACAAATCAGGTGTATGGATAAATGCAAAACGTAAAAAAAATTGTTCCCGCTTACTGTAAAAGCTTATTTTAGTTGATCTGATTAACAGAACTGTATTTACTTGATGACTGAAATTCATGAAAGCACGCATGACATTTTACTATTTGCTTATTTTATTGCATGTAAGATCTGATTTTGATCTGTGTGTAAGTGATGGGTGTGTCAGCTGGCTTTAACATCAGAACACAGAGCAGAATGTTAAACAAGACAGCAGACAAAAAAGGCCAAAGCAGGATAAAAAACTGTTTGATACACTTTGTGTTTTTACATGTTTCAAATAAGAAAACAGGATTCTAAGTAGAGCTGCACGATATACCACCAAACCATATGTAAATAAATGGTCGCAAGTTACAGCTTTTATTTTGATGGGTTACGGATGAATGTGGGTGTCTTTGTGTTAAATAAGCTAAAACTTTCATTTTGTTATGAAACCTCCGGGACAAAAATGGCAACATCTTTCGGAGAAGTGTTAACGGTGAATTCTCGAGCTTTGGAGGAAGACACGAGGATTTTGAGGACAATTAAAAAGGTGAGCAAATTAGCAGAGAACTGGAAGAAAAGAGGTAAAATACAGTTATCAAAGCATGACGGAAACAAACTAAGATCATCTCAGAGGAAACGTTAGGTGGTAAAACATCGTTCATGTTTACACGTGACAGAAGGAAACCTGTGATCACAATAAAATATAACAGGAATAACTCAAATACAGACAAAAACATAAGAACTGCACAAAAAGAAATAGTAATTTAGATGCAGGTTCAGGTGCAGGTTCATTGTCAACAAGATGTCAGCATAACTGCTGTAATCAAACTCTAGTTCATTTGTCTAGAAAGTCCGGTTTGTTTGGGGAGGTGTGAACCAAGGTTATAATAGTTTTGGGTTTTTCATTAGTTTAGTTTATTTTGTTTTGACTTTTTTCTTTTATTTCAGTTAGTTTTAATTAGTTTTTACAGAGGATTAGCTAGTTTTTATTAGTTATTATTGCATTTTTTTAATGCTTAGTTTTAGTTTTTATTTGTTCTAGTATTAGTTTTTTTATAGTTTGATTAAACATATTTGCCGATACCATCTTCAAGCTTGTGATGTTCCTGTGAGTTAACTAAACAACAGCTATTTGGTCACTAGTTAAAGCATCTATTATAGAGACACCTTCCTAAAATAATTACGTAACTCTATTTTGCCAACTTAGGACTTGGTAGATTATTTTAAGCCAATGACAGCAGTTGTCTGAGCTACTGAGAGATGTTAGCGTGTCAAGATAGTCATATTAGCCATCTTGTGCTAGCTTGATTCGTGACTTTTTCACTTGAGAAGCATTCCACCTGTTTTATCACCTGTTTCCACTACAAGACACTTGCTTTTGTTTTTCTCTCAGTCATGTTCAAAGAAATCCCAAAGTGGACGTTGCTGCTTTCTTCCAACTTTTGCTGTCTCATTTTGCAGACACTGCTGAGCAGCAGCAGACTGTAAACAAGTGTTGTTATGGACCTTAAGTTGCTGTAAGCTGCCCACAGCTGATGTGAAACTACGGTACTCAATTTAAAAAAAAAAATTGACAAACACTAAAACTAAGGATATTCTATCTATAATTTCCATTATTTTTAGTTAGTTTTGTAAAAAGATTAAACAGTTTTAGTTAGTTATCTTTTTTTCATTTTATTAGTTTTTATTTATTTCAGTTAACTAAAATGTTTTTTCAATTTCAGTTTTCGTTATTTAGTTAGTTTTAGTTAACTATAATAACCCTGGTGTGAACATGTAATTGAACTCTGATGGTTCTGAGGAACAGTAATAAAGTTACGCATACTTTGTAAATACCTCGCTCGATGTCTGTAAAAGGTGGACATCACTGCTGTAAAGGTAGATGTGCTCCTACTCGGTGAACGCTGCCCCATAAAGAGCCGTCAGCCTCGTGTAAAAAACAACATTCTCCATGGTTCCGCCTCACCTTCCACACGTTGAGCTCATCGTTGAAGCGTGTTTGTTTGGCACATTTGCCAAAACCAAAAAATAAATCCTACAACCACTAAAATCTGACGTCGCTTCATGTTTGTTTATATTTTTTGAAGGAGGAAGTTGCGCTCCATGTCTTCTGAGGTTTTCGTGTTGGTTCCTTCAGTGAGTCTTGTTGCAGCGCCACCACAGGCGAGGAGGGGAACAGGCTGTTCACAGGGTTTGTTTTGTTTTGACACAGAGCAGTGTGAATGCGAGCAACACCACATGAAAATGTAAACAAATCWTGGAATTTTGGTCTCCAATCAAACCAAGTCTGCCGGACTATCAGGTGTGAATTRAAGTGTTATTCAACTCATCTGTTGACAATTTCTGTTTTTTTCATATCGCAATATACAGTATATCGCAGGGTTAGAAAAATGGCAATGTCAGTTTTTCCCTGTGGTGCAACTCTAATTAGATGTCATGCTGCAACTTTGAATAATATGTTCCGTGTTTGGAGATTATGCAGCATTTTAAGCCAAAGATGACTCATTATTTACAAGTTCTCAGCTCTGACTGAACGATTCAAACACACTTTCATGGACAGATGTACTTGTTCAGATATCCATCAGGCAGTTAGTGGCCAGAAACCCTGCAGCCATGTTTAACTCTGAGACCCATCTGCTCCATTTCAAACTGTACAAAAACAAGATGACCACCACTCACCTGTGACAGCAGAGGTCTGCGACCCGTGCTCAGTGAGGATGGGGTAGCCTAAGTATCCAAGGTGCTCCAGACAACGATGGACGTCAAGGTAGGCAGAAAGCCTGCACGTGATGGGCGTGCACGTGAGTTGTGAACAATGCAGACTCTAAACTCTCAATTGATGTGTTTACAAACACCACAGCAAGCCGATAACACTCACATCCACTGACAGTGGTAGCCGTGATTGGAAATGTAGCCCTCCTTTGTGGTTGGCACGGTCATACACACATCTGCGCTCCAAGGCATGTAGGGACAGACACAAAACAGGTTCCTAAGCTCTGCTGGTGACAGGGCACAATCCTTATCCTAAGAGAAACAGACCAGTTTTTATTGATATTTGTATTACATGTGCAAAAGAGTGATTTCGGCAATAAAAACTGCAGCTCACTTCATCATATTTGTCAAATAATCGCTGGAGGAACTGGTGACCAAAGTGGTTTATTTCTACGGTGCAGCCGACAGGAACTCGCAGTCTAGTAACAGAAAAAAAAAGAAAGGTTAAACCACCACATTTCAGATTAAAGTTTAATACAAACCAGGACAAGTGTGAACAACTATAATATTCTAATGRTTTTTTTAAGACAACCACCTGAAGAAGTTTAGTTATCAGAAGTTTATTGGACTAAACGTAGCCACAGGTCTTACTCAGGATAAAGGTAGTCGTCAGTCAGCTCAAGGTTGTCATCATAACCAAACCTCCTCAGGATCGTCCACGTGGTTTCATGTCGGCCCCTCTGGATAAATAATGTATTAAGAAACAAGAAACCTGCAACAGAAGAAATGGGATACATGACCATTTGTTAAATGTGACCTTCCAACTGCAGGACATAAAATAATCTTTCTTCGTTGTGTGAATGATCAATCAGCATTCTGTTGTCCTTTTATGTTTTTTTTCCAAATTACTCCATATACTTTGTTTTTTAACC